TGGACAATCCTCGTTGTTAGCCCGGGTGTCAACCACTCGGAGAAGCCGATGACAAGTGCATAAATCGAAAGGAAACGGAAGTAAGAACTAAAATACAAAGGAAGTCAGGAAACGGAAATTAACCACAAACATTGCTGATTCAGCCGAATATTTTTCTCGCCGTCTGGATGTTTACAAGAGAAATATAAATATTCTTGTACTAATCTATAGCCAATTCTTAGTGTTATTTGTAAGATACCACGAACAAGTAGATCAAGATCATAGTCCCTTATGGTAAAATGTGATTCCCTGTTCGTATTAGCTGAGACAAATGAACGTCCACGTCGATACGTCGTCGTATTGTACTCTCAGATACTCAAAATTTAATTCTTGCAATTTCTGCCCAGGAAAGTCCAACTTGAGAATTGAGAGTTTCGATTGCCTGTTTTCAGACGTCCAGTCTTGGTCTTCCCACACCAGAGATAGTTAGCACTCCCACTGTCCTACACTTGTCTGAACAATTCCGTGGTCCGGGGGGGGGGGGCGGTACTCCAACAAAGGGCGAAAGGAAAGTGCTTCGCATCTTTCGCATCTTTCCCTTTGACGACGAACAATCACTTGAAGGATGCGCATATCTGACAAAAGTTGTTGTTCTAGAGAATATTAAGCCTTATAAGATTGCGAAGAATATTTATATTTCTCTTGTAAACATCCAGACGGCGAGAAAGATATTCGGCTGAATCAGCAATGTTTGTGGTTAACTTCCGTTTCCTCACTTCCTCTGTATTTTAGTTCTTACTTCCGTTTCCTTTCGATTTATATTTTTGACTTTTCGATTTATTTTTATGAGCCGCGGCTTTGACTTGTCATTTGGGAGTTTCGCTTTATAAATAGAAGTTTGGACTTGCGTTTAGTTTTCATATATATCCTTTGAGGTTTGAAATGTATTTTGCATTTTTCAAGTATATGCTTTAAACTTTCGTTTTATATTTTTTTTTTTAGTTTGAACCTTATCTTGATATTTTTAACATTATATTGAGAGTTATAACATGTTGATATGATGTTTGAATATTACTTATTGACTTGAAATAATTTTGACCGGAACGGAACGCCATAGGTGATAGAGCAGAAAGCGGTGACCAGTTAAGTGATGAGGATGAAAGTGACGAGGACGAAATAACCCATGCTGTACCATTCAAGTGCATCGGTGCTGCTCATGAGAAAAATTACCAACATCATAATTTGGAACAGGCATACCTTGCTCTTCATGGACAAGATAAACCAGTGAATGTAAGAATACGGCCAGAGCCATTGAATCCAATGGACCCAAGTGCAATTGATGTAGACTATGGAACTGGATGGACACATATTGGTTATATTGCTTCTCAACTATGCGAGTATTTGCACACACTAATTGCCACAGGAGATGTCTTAGAGGTCTATGTTCAGCATATCAAGTATAGGGTTGACTTTTTTAAATTATCAAAAAATTTTCATAAAGCGACGTAGGGAGTGGGAGACTCAAGTGGTAAGGAAGAGCAGGAGTGTACGTTGACAGATGTTTGTGACATAATTGTAACTGACTAGGTTTAGCAAGTTATAGAAATGATGTTATTTCAATTGGCTAACTTTTTAGATTTTCATACACAAAAACTAGGTTAATCATAAGTGCATGATTATCGGTTTTCTTTTAATTATATATCAAATTACGTAGAGTATATATAACGCATGCACTTGTAATATAACCATTCCTGATGATGACTAAATAAAGTCGAAACGTTGAATAAAAATGCTTACTTTATTCGGAGTTACCGTTGTATTGTATTTTATAAGTGCATGGGTGTGCACAATTAAAATAAAACAATGTCTGCCATGCACACTCATGCAATTAAGACAAGTACATAATTGTAACATGTGCTGTACTAAATGAAGAAATAAATAATTTGTACATTCACTTGACCAACTTTGTGAGTAATTTTTCATTAAAATTAATGCAATAATAAAACAAAAATATGTCTATTTATATACATATTGATCAAAGGTCCCACAATAACATGCTGCTGATACTTTGTGGTACGTACATTACATGAGAATACAAAAAAAAAACCTGCATATAATTGCACCTATCAATGTCAAGCACCAGAGGGGGGTGGGCATATGTGGGGTATTTGATCATCAATTGCATCCCCACTCTGGGGATTTTGATTAGCATTTTGGGCCCGAGTTAGGGCAATTTGAGCCAAAACGACTTTTATTAATATAGTATTTATTGCAATTTATTGCAAAATGGTGGGGTGTTTGACCAATATTTATTACCTAACAGTACAGTGGGCATTTGATTGAAAATTTGCTCAAAAAATCAAATGCCCCACATATGCCCGACCCCGCCCCATCTCTGGGGCTAAACATTGAAAGAACCACCATTTCTCAAACTTTATCTGAATTAGTTGTGTAACATCATTACAAAATACTGCTAAAAAATAGGTACGCGACGCGTACATGTATCTGCGAAAAAACTTGATTCACATTTTGTATTTTCTTCAAAGAAACTGAATAATGAAGATGACATGGGACAATTGAAATATTTCATCACTTATTATAATGGCAGATAAGATTTAAAACAGGGCTGTACACAGCGGGGAGTGCAGGAGGGCAAATGCTACCCCCACCCCCACACCGAGAAAATTTAACTAACTTTACAATGTGATTATGATTGTAACTAATAATTATGCAGTCAGGAAATAAACATTTCATGCAAACAATATTCAAAGTGTCTATAGTAGACTCTATACAGCAGGCTATTTAGTAAACTGTCACCTGTCAATTCAATCCATACTCATCAAATTTTCAAAACTTTATTGTAATCATATGAAGCAAAAGTTATGTCACTTGTTGTTTACACTTGCCAATGTTAACTGTTGAGTAACATACACAAAATATTTGGTGAACATGTCGAAGCCGACCACTGAATAATTGAGAATGTTTTGAAGGTCATGAGTGAAGTATATAATTAAATTCCAGTTCTGTGCACAGTTAATGATATACCACACTGTTCGGTTTAACACATACAGCACATTCACACAAAAACAATCGTGTTGTGGGAGATTATTGGTTTGAGTAGAAGGTATCACAAGTTTAGTTTTGTACATTGTGTGCCATTGATCAAATCCACCATATAATATATGATTACTCATTGTAGCTGTTAAATTATTTTCCATACTAATGAATTTATAGGTAAGATTGTCCTGCAAGTTTGTTGTTGTGACAAAATTATCCAGCCAATATCCAGTACATTTATTCTTCATTCTTGTATTAATCTCTAAAGAAAAATATTTATGTTAGAAAGCAAAATGACAATGTAATGAGGCTCGGGAGGGTGAGGATTCTTTTATTTGAAAATGTTTGTAAAAATTTTGTTTAATTAACTCTAATGTGTAAAACCAAAATGTATAAGTATTTTAACTGAAAACATCTTCAACCTTTGCTCTAACACTACATTTGATGACAGCTTTCTAGTTGGACTGTTGTTTTGAACAGAGTTATGGAGTCAATATACAGAAATACAGGACCACGATTTAATTCAATATCTCCCGAGAATGTTTTCACTGTTTAAAATATTGCAGAAGTCACAGAAGAATTGTTTTTAATACTGTATAAATCTTTTTGTGAACTAGGTTGATAAATGGCTTAAAATATCCTCGAAAATATCCAATATTTTATACAGTGTAATATATTAATAAAAAAATTCCAGAGTGCATTCCATGTAAACTCTACGCCGAAGATACGGCAATATTAACTATAGATAGTATAGTAAATATTTGCCGAACTGGCGAACTCCTGTATATATATTAATTATTATAAAATATGTGGGACATATATTTGCACAAATTTGGTATTTAAATATATAATATGCGGTATTTGACTACTTACCAGATGAGGATAAGAATTCCACGTTGATAAATAACTTCGGAATAAAATTCAAGAATAAATTGATAAAAATATCAAGATATTTTTGAAACAATAACACGATTTATACACGAGGCCTGACGAGGCTAAAGTATGCCCGTTCGCAGGTTAGATGCGGGCACGATGTAAACAATTGATGTAAACGAATCGCTGATTGGCTTAAATTGGCTTAAATTATATAAGCTCGTCGCTGAATGGCTAGGGATACGGTACGGTACGGCACGTTTGCGATAGCAATATGGTGATCGCTAGATAGTATACTTCAAAATAAGGTTTCCGTTTTTATAACGTAGAAAAAACTATCTTAACGCAAAACTAAACCCTAACCCTAATACTAACCCTCACCCTAACCACTACCTAACCCTAACCTAAACCCTAACCTAACCCTAACTTATTTTAATTATTTTAAAAATTGATATAAAAACGGAAACCTTATTTTGAAGCATACTATCTAGCAATTGCCATAGCAATATATCTGCTTCGCAGATACAAAAAGGGTGGATGAGTAGTTGTTCTGGTTGTCGCTGGGTTAGTTTTGAAAATCCAGAAGTCATCATACCAATAACATATTAATCAAAAAGGTGAAAAAGGTTTTGGTTACTCGAATGGAGAGACAATCATAGCATCGTAGATTGGAAGGACCGATTTTACCTCCAAATTTAATGATGATGCTTAATTTTGCAGACAAAATCATTGACAAAAATAGAATCCAGCCAAAATCACGAATCTCAAATCTAAAACATCAGTCAAACAATAAATTTCACTTATAAAATATTGTTACAGAAGGGCTTTAATTATTTACACACTTTAACTGCAATATATAGAATCCATAATATATCGAAACTTCTATAATATATCACACTTCTTTAGAAAAAAGCGAGTAATAGCAGTTCATTATCGATCTGAGTGACAAGGCAACATATTTTACCGAGGGCTATATTCAACGGTGAATATCTCGAAAACGGTTGCGGGACCGAGGGGGGCCGGCTGAATAGAATTAAAGATTATACTTTTGTTTAACTAATCGTGAAAAAAATAGCGAAATCGAAACGTGGAAATTTGAGATTTTTGTCTTCAAAGATTGTACTTGACAGAAAGGCCATTGAATTACATCGCGACAACATAGCGCCTAAAGTGAGAGGTCAAAATAAACTGGAAAATAACGCTTACCTTTCAAGATACCGTTCCAATGGGTAGATTCACTGTTGTAAAAGTAGTATCCCGTAAAATTTCAAAAAAAATGTGCATAACAATATGAAAAAAGTCGATATTTATGAGCCCTATGTAAATTTTCGATGCCAAAAGCTTCGTGCGAGCATGAGCAAAATGGCGAAATCTGATTGGTCGAGAGATTCGCCCAGATTCGCCTAATTAGCTGTCCAACCTCCTCTGGGTCTTGTAGATGGAAATTATCGAACTGAACTCCAAAATGTATGTTCATAAATTTTGCGGGAAAGAAATTAGGTTCATGCGTAGAAAAGATAAATTAGGCTTCGCGAGGAAAACGTTCGCTTCGCCAGTGACTAGATGCCTGATAGAGGTCTGTTCAACTGGCGGCGAAAGCGAATAAAGTGGCAAAAATTCAGTAAAATCACTCATGCGCGCAGCCAACCATTTTTCTAATAGAAAAGAAGGTTAGGGAACTCGATGCAGACACAGAATTAGAATTAACCAGAAGGTTCCCTTGGCGAAAATCTGTCCTTGAGCTAAACAAGTGTAATGCAACCTCGTACCTATGCAGTTCACTCCTATACATTCTCATACCGAGAGCCCTTCTTACGCGCGTTCGAGGGGCTCTGGCCAAATCCATAACCGGATACAATAAAAACATGGTATCCGGTTTAACACTGCGCATGCTCAACGTCAAACGCGGATAAACACTTCGGTTTTCTTGTTTGTTTCGTTTTGAAAGTTTTACTCCAGGAAAACACTACAAAAGCGGTAGGTTTCGCTAATTTATTTAAATCAATTAGGGCCTGTTCATATGATCCCGCTTACCGGGACGTCTCGCTTACCGAGACGAATATTTCCGTGCGTTCATATGGAATATTTCGTCCCGCTTGCCGAGATGAAATTACATTGTAGTTCTATAATTAGCGTATGCAAAACTTCTACATTTCAGTCAAGCAACACAAATACTTGGCGATTTGAGTGTTTTTCTTCGTTTATTTACAAGAAAAAGTATTGCTTCAGGTGGTTATTTAATACTTGTTTACAAAACAAACATAAAACCAAGTAAAAAGTGTTAAATTAAACCGGCAAGACTTGTTTCACTTCATCCTGGTAAGCGGGCTGGCGTGTTCATATGGAAAAATTTTCGTCCCGCCTACCTATGATCTCGGCAAATTCAAACGAGATCTCGGCAAGCGGGCCAGCTCGCTTTCTCATATGAACACAATGCAAAATTTTATAGGAAAATAGATAGGCGGCGAGATCATCGGTAAGCGAGACGTCTCGGTAAGCGGGATCATATGAACAGGCCCAATTAGTAGGTAAGACGTGATGTTCTCAATGTATGTTGATAAAATTTAGTATATATTTCCCTCTTAAACGTTGTCAAAACAGTAATGGATACGGATACGAAGACGAGAGATTGTCTCACTATTTTATATCGATTTTAAGTCGCTGCTGTACAGATTGTTAGACTTTTTTTGTGTTTTATTAAAAGTCAACAGTCATACATAAGAGATACTATACTGCAAATCCTTTGAAATTTGTAAAAAAATCGGTCTCTAGGAAGAAAATAGTCATCACAATTAACTTTATATTCTGGCTGGCTTTAATATTTTCTCTTCAGATGGCACTTCAGCTTTGAACATGTAACACAGATTTGTTTGATTAATTACATCACTGATTTGGAAATACGACGAGCATCTGCCATAAATATGCTGACTTTTTGCTATGAGAACATCACGTCTCAACCTATTAATTTCAATCAACTAATTTGATTTAAATAAATAAAATTAGCTACATCTACCGCTTTTGTGGGCGATTATCAACAACAATCTTCCTAACTGCTTCGTACTGCTGTTCTTTCAACTTTAATAATGTCTTTTCTCCCAATTTTCTCCAAAACGATACCAACGCTTCATGGAGCGCTTGATTTTTATTCATATTTTATACAATTTTATACAATAAACCATATATTTCGTTGTGGCCAATCAGAAGCCAGTTTGATATGGATTTGGCCAGGGCAATTGCTAGATAGTATACTTCAAAATAGGGTTTCCGTTTTTATATCAATATTTAAAATAATTAAAATAAGTTAGGGTTAGGTTAGGGTTAGGTTAGGGTTGAGGGTTAGTATTAGGGTTAGGGTTTAGTTTTGCGTTAGGATACTTTTTTCTACGTTATAAAAACGGAAACCTTATTTTGAAGTATACTGTCTAGCGACCACCATTTGGCCAGAGCCCCTCGTCGCACTCGCTCGAACACGCGTAAGAAGGGCTCTGGGTACGAGAATAACTCCTATACTATTTCCAATTAAAATGCGCAGCCCGCGCTCGTTTCAGATCCCTAAACAAATGTAGCAAGCGTGAGAAAACGTAACTAGTCTTTAGTATTAGAGTGAACCTTCTGGTTTATTCTGTGATGCAGATATAACAGGACCAATTATCTATGCTTTTTGTGTATTGTGGTTTCGCCAGATCAACCAATTGCCATTTTTTCATTTACCAGTTGTGTAATATTACGACTGGGTAATTAAACCAACACACTGCTATTGGTTAGGCGAACAAACAGTACACACATGACGATGAATCAATCAACCATTTCTCGCATAATCCAGACAAAAACCTACATAATGAGGAGTTTGTTACGTCTCGATCGAGTTCCCTAATCTTCTTATTGTATTGCCTATGCGCAGACACAATTTCTAGGCCTTAATTATTTAAAAGTTGTGGTTACTTAACCTTTGTGGGTTGCTACCTAACGGCCCTAGGCCAGCCCCCCCCCCCCCCCCCCCCCCTTCACTCCTAATTCTAATTAGATGCAAAAATTAATTCAATTGTTCCATAAATCATGGAACTCCATTATACAATTATGTGCTTACAAGAACGTTTTCACTAAACTTGAATCACATGCCACTAGCTATTCACTAATATATCTAACATAACACGTCACTTCAGTAATATTTATTATTATTCAATAAGTCTATAGTAATAGCTGTAGAACTATTAAAATTACAAATCTGTTAAGGGGGACCAGCCAAAACAATTTCAAATTTTTCAAAATTTTCTTTTCGGTTAAATTTAAAGTTTAAACTTATCTTTTTTCTATTGCTATAAGTTTAATATACTGTTCAAAATACTGGATTCCAGTAACTTGTTTTTTTTTTACGCACATATTTATTCATGAGATAAATTCATCAATGATCCTCTCTTCCCTCTGCAATCAACCCTTATCTAATTAGGTAACCTTCTGCAATCAACCCTTATCTAATTAGGTAACATCCCCGGATATTACTGCAGATATGACTTATAATAAGTTCAAACCGTTTTCTCCACATCCCCCCCCCGTATCTCCAAATGGTCTGTATCAGGGGCCCTATTCCAGTTAAAGCCGGGGGGCCTTTAGCACAAAGTAATGACACTGCATTCGGTATGTTCGTATAATAATTATATAGTAATTGTCTAACGGATATAGTCGAGGTGAAACGTGGAAACACAATTAAATATTAAGGAAGTTCACAGTTTTAACAGAAAAGGGGTGCACCTGTGCCAATCATGATTTAATTCCTTATTCTTTGATACTGAATCGTAGTAAGCTTGAAACGCCCATTATTTTAATTACTGTTTTTGTCGAAGGTAGAAAATAGCGTTCTTTCATGCGCCTATATTAGCTATTTCATGGGGGAGGGGCGAAGCCTTTCTATTTTCTTTTCTTTAAAATATAAGCAAAAGATTGGAAGCCAAAAATATAGATTTTAAAAAGGGACCACCAATAAGTAATAGATCTTTCGCACATTGTTTGACAAGTTTACAAATATCTTTTCCGATTTGGCAGTAGGTATTTTGTTGCATGCATGATCTTATTAAAGTATTACAAATTTTACAAAAATAAGAAATATTATTTATGAATCGTTATATGCATGGGCCTCCCAAAACCATTCCAAAATTAAACAGGCAAATAACGCAAAATTACAATAAATTACTACACGTCCACGAATATAAATCTCGTATTCTTGCCAATAAGCATTTTTGTCTTTACTATTTTTTTAAATAACCGAAATTTTTTAAATTTTACAAAATGTTTTACAGAAATACTCCTGAGTAATAACCAATTTATGAATGTTCATATTAGGGAACACAAATTTAAACTCATGAGAATATTCTTATCAAAGTATGGTAAATTTTTCATATATCATACCTTATGCATAATGACGTCACAAGGCTCAATGCCGGCGAGGAATGCTGGTTTTAGTAGTCATCGCCCGGAAAAATTTCGATAGTGGCCATTTTAAATTGTTTACTTTCATTTTCCCGGGCGATGACTACTAAGACCAGCATTCCTCGCGGGCATCACGCCTTGTGACGTCATTATGCATAAGGTCTACTATTAATGTAACTATAGCTCTGTATTCCAGACTTAATTTTAAAGCCCGGATCAAACAAGGATGAAAGGTGATGAGAGTTGGCAATCACGAATTGTTACAGGGAACCATGCAAGCTAAGAACATTAAAAAAATAGGTTTAAGGTTTCATGAGCGTTCCAACTGTGATGGTTAAATAAAATACATGATAGTTGGGAAAGCATTAAGGACACTCTAAAAGCTCGCTCACACTCAATGAGTGCATGGAAGTTCAATTTTAGGTTTTCTTCGAGTGTCAATGCTGTTTTTGGATAGCTGGAAGGTTAGTACCGTACCGTACTATGTGAATACTCATCGTCCATGCAGCTAATCAAAAACAGCATTGACAGTCTAAGGAAGCTCAGATTGAACCTCCACTCATTGAGTGTGAGTGAGCTTTTACAACACAAGCGTCAGTATCCTCATTTCTTCCGGACTTAAATAGTTATGTGGCGTCATACACCAAGACGAAAGATTCTGGGAACGTCGTTGTTCACGGCGTACAGTTTTTTACAAAAAAATTAGAGATTACAAATTTGAACTAAACAAAATGCTAAAAAGGTGTGTTTGGAGTTATTTTATTTACACTTTTATTATTTCAAAGTTGAATTACATTTATAGATGTGCCAATCGACGTCCGGTGTACAAAATGTTTCCCGTCTTCACATCGCTTTATATTCTGCAGCACACCGGAAGATGTTCAGTTGCGTGCATGCATTTTATCTCATTCCATTGATGAATCTAACTGCCTCGGATTTAACGGTGTGAATCATTGCACGAGTGTGGAGCGGCAGCTGTGCAATGTATAATTACGCCTTTGATTTTACTATATAAGTATAATAGCAACATGAATAGATTGTTTTATCAGTAAAATTGTAAGAAAGATTGTTTAGAAAGCTTTAGATGCTTCCACAATATCATTCCAAGATTTAAAAAACAAAGAGATTAAAATACATTACACTCGTACCGCTGCGGGGAACGAGAAGTATTCTCTCTCATGCAAGCTATATCCGGTACGAGTGTAAACGTAGTCGAAATAGCCGTCGCCGTTACTACGTTGTCGTTCTACTTTCTCGAAGAATTTGTAAATAAAAGCTTCTGCGAAGGAGAGAGGGACGGCAATACTTCGCAGAAGCTTTCAAAGATCAAGGCCCGCCCCCTTCACCCACTTATAATTTCCTCACTCATGAGAATTCTATTTCTTTTCATACTTTATTTCTTCCTCACACAGGCAATTACAAGTGATCAACGTATCCGTAACAGTTCGTTGATATATATAAATAGGAACATCCTTTAATCGGTGCGCGGTAAAAGCTTAGATCTGCTTAAGAGAGAAGTATTGACCATCATGTAGCGATTCCAAATGGCAGTATACTGTATGCATTATTTATATCTTACTGCAAATAATCAAGGTATTAATTACAATGTTTCGGAATATAATTCCATCTTCACGTTAAGTAAAGAATAAAATGGTACGATATAAAATCTTTGTGTTCTTAAAAATATTTTATATTGCTAAAAGTTTTATAACGTTAAAAAATATTTTGAATCCTATCAATTTTTGAACATGAAGATAGAGTTATACCAGGAAATGTTGTAATTAAGCTTGTAATTTACGTAAACTTTAGCTTCGATTTTCTCCTCTTAGACAACTTTTTTTTTAATTCACTTCGCCAAGGCCGTAAGATGGGTATGAGCTTGTTTTGTCCAGCAGAAAATACGTAAAAGCGCCATTATAACAAAAATATAGATTAAAATACTTATTAGAAAAGCTAACGTTTCTATGTTTTCTGCTTTGTATGCCATTGCTCTAAAGATGTCTTAAGTTAAAGACGAAATGTTAGCTTTCTGATATATATTTTAAATTATATTTTTGTTATGGCTCTTTGACGTATTTTCTGCTTGGCATTAATTAATATTTATCTTAAGATTACGATTTCCACCTGGTTCATGTATCGCAAGTATCTTGTTTTGCCCGACCAAAAGGTCGTGGCAAAAGTCGTGCACGACAAACATTTCAGTCGCTAATTGATATTTCTCTTCCCAAAATTGTTGGCGAGCGGGTGGGTGGGGGGGAGGGGGGAGAATTCGGACATACCCTGTTTCACTAACTTACCGAAATTTGTACAATTTTTCAGTTATTTTTTTCGTAATTTTCAGTAATTTTTTGCTGAGTTACATATGTTTTTGTTCGACGGCGCGTCGTTAAAATTGCTAAAATTGCCCGACAAAACTGCAACATTACGCAGCTGCACTTCGCCAAGTGAACTCATCAGATGGATCGTTTTTTAAGTAGGAGTGCTTTATCAGATTTAAAACACTCGAGCTGCACTCTCGCGTTCTATATGTGATAAAGCACTTATATACTCGGGTTTTAAATAGTACTTAAAAACAGCTGCGCTCTCGCGTTTTATATCTGATAAAGTACTCCTACTCACTTGATAAGGCATTCCTACTCTTTCAAATCTTCTGGGGGATCCCTAGTGCGAGAAGCCGGAAAAAGGAAGTTGATCACACTATTTGTTGCTTAAGTGTCGGTTCTGAACCGCATTCCATTTCCATTACAGACATCGAAAGGGAACGCTACTAAGCTAATAAATATACTACTGTATTTGACAAGACTATATAAACATCGTTTTGCATTTCACTGCGGGTATGTTCTTGTTTCTTTTTAAAGTATTGTGTTTTTTTTATATAATGTAATGTAGTTATAGTCGTTTATTATATGTATGCAGGCAACAACGCGATGACGACGGTGCATGCAAACAATTTCCTTCAAATTTACGAAAGTTAAGTCGAGGGTTTTATGTTTAAGCTTTAAAATTTAATCCGTGCGTGGCTCAGTGTTGTAAACAGAATGAAGATGTTTTAAAACTCCCCTCCGCGTTTTTATTAGAGAGTTTAAGATCTACGATGCGGTCGGCTGAACGACGCGGTCTGAATTTCAGCTAAAAAATGAACGCTAAGCAATTTCATTACTGTGATACATTTTGACGATTTTCAAATAACATTACAAACTGCTAAGTTTGACTAAAGCGATGCAATGTTTGCTGTAATTTCGACTTTAAGTATCACCTTTTGGGTCGCAATAAGGCTTCGCGTTGCTTGAAAGACGTGATAATGGTTAGTTTAACGTTCTGCTGAGCATGACAAAGCCGTTGAGAATACCCCTGGGACCACAAATTTATTCACAGTTTTTGTCTTGCATGACAGATTTCTTTCTTTCGCAAGCGCGTCGTTGAGCCAGCCGCGTCGTAGATCTTAAACTCTCTATTGTCTCACGAAAACGCAGGGCCGGGGGCAAATCTTCCCTGGGGGCCCCATGACATCATTATTTTTAAGCTAGAACCAACTAGACCTTTGCTAGACTGCATGTGGAGGTACTGTAAGGGGCTCTCTATTTCTGGGTAATTTAAAAAACCTACTCAATTTCAGGCTTTCGCTCACAAGTTCGAGCCCTATTAAAGGTGGGGCTCGGGGCAATTTCCCCTCCCTCTCGGCGGCCCTGCTAGGACTAAGGTTGACAAGTTAAGCTCACTTTAGATCATTTAACATTCAACTTTAGTTCCCTCATGGGAAATGTCTACGTTTCGTTTTCCATGCATTTCCCAACGGTGGAAGAATGTGATTTCGACCGGCAATTTTTATTTGACGGCTATGTGGCCATTTCTCTTTGTTACGACTAAAAAGAGTATCATTGAAAAGCTAAATAACTGATCTTTCGTCCGATGTAAGATTTGACTTGTTTTGCTACGTTTATGATGCACCACAGCCTGTTGAATTTCCATAGCGTTTTTTTAGACACCCTGTAGATTGCTTTATGTTTGCAAATTCAAAACTGAATAATATACGGTTGTCGGTTAAAGAAAATTGACGTCTGTGGGAATAGCTCTAGGCCTAGGGCAATCTCCATCGTCGTCACAAGTAGTTGCAGTCCGTGTGCTAGAAAGCTACGAAATTTCGTAGACTGTACGTACAAATATAATTAGTTTCGACAGCGGTCAACCGTAATGTATTAATTTAAATGCTAAATTTTCGAGCGATGCAGGGAAGACAAAGGTGTCTCCAAAGCCGTCACTCTAGAGAGGGCATGTCCTGCATGTTCATAAGAGATAAGCATTCGTAACAATTCTCTCCTGGCAAAAAATTATTAGCTACAAAATCATAAACAAAAAATCTTTTTGTCGTCAATGAAAACGAACACGCTCGTGAAAGAGACGCTTCTAAGGCCAGGGTCAATTGTCGAACTTTTTATGCGCCGAACCTAATGTTAATGAGCTAAGTTCTTTGTTTCACTTCATTTGCATTACGTTCGGCTCATGAAAAGTTCGACGTTTGACCCTGGCGTAACAGACAGCAATCCAACGAAGACTACACCACAGTCAATATCTCTAGTAAGAGCTTCATGAACAAAGTCCGTAAATACCTTAGTATTGTTCAACCGTAAATCGTGGCCTTTAAGCTCTTCTGAATGCAGAACTCAAAGAAACACCTCTGGACTAAACAATGCATCCGCCGTGTTTGTTCATAATTTTTATAAAAAATTAGCATATTTTTTCATTTTGAACCAATCAGATTTCTCGTCCTTTGGGAGAACGAGTAAATACAGCCAAGCATGAAGTTTAGTGCAAGCTGTCCTTTCCCTGAGAGCCGCTACGCAGGTTATTGATACTTGCACAGTTGACATACAAATTGCATGTAAACAATGGTTTTGCTGGTTAAAAATTAGAGAATTGTAAATCCAGTGCAAGTTCGCGTTTTCAATCATAAGTAAATGCCAGAAACGTGGGAAATGCATACTTTGTCCTGTATGTTGTCCTGCGTGTATATAAATCTTAATGTAAACAACTCATACATTTTATATGGATATTGTATTTGCTAAACGGGAACAGTAAACCCCGCAGTGTACAGGGTGTCCCAAAAAAAAGTGACACTATAGAAATTATCCTATTGTTATAATTTGAATGCCCTAGCACTAAGTTGATCCCACAGGTGCATAAACTTCTGCTTCTGGAATTTAAAATAAAAAAGCAAACCGCTATTAGTGTAATCGTTTTGCTTGACTCGGGCGCTAAAATATTTGGACAAAGCGAAAACGTTTTAAAATGCTTAAATTGTAAATACAAGTTCATTAAATTCCCAGGCGTATAATCACGCGCGTTTAAGAGCGGCTTAAGAACAATGAGATAATTTCTATAGTGTCACTTTATTTTGGGACACCCTGTATTACTCGGTCTGGCAGAAATCGAAACTACGACCCTGCGATTCCGGTAAGCGCTCTAGTCAACTGAGCTACAGAATCCAGTTGTCGAGCTCTATATTGAGCTTGTATCCTTTAGCTCATTGAATACGGCATACCTCCCAATATTGACGCGAAATTCCTAGATAAGGCAATGAATCTTTTTATACGAAATCGCGTGGTGTCAACGCGTGACACGTGAACGTGAGATTATTTAACAATTATTGAATTCGGTGCTCGCATGATGTATAGAAGAAAAAATGTTAGTATAAAGGCGAATTTCCAGTCCTCGCACGAAGCTCCTCGCAGCTCGCTGCGATTGCATGCATGAGCACTTTCATTCAATCACAATGCCTATAGACAGTTAATTTTAATTAGATGCAAGCACTCGCAGCGAGTTACAAGGAGCTTCGTGCGAGGACTGGAAAACCGCCTTAAGTAATCATGCGATGGCGAGTACAATTCTAAGGATTAATAGTACGAGTGATGTTTTGAAATTTTGCCAAAATTGGAGGAGCCGCCGGGCGAGTCCAATTTGGCAAATTTCCAAACATCACGAGTACTATTAATCCCTTATAATTGTACGAGCAACATCGCATGATTACTTGTTTATTATTAGCATATGATAACATTCCATACTTCTCCGTCAACATCATATTCTCTCGCCAAAGCCCAGTCCTGCCAGACATTCAACCAAAATTTGGAACTTTTGTTCGTATTTTCATTTATGTAGTTCTTTTGTTAAAGCAAAATTTGGTCCTTTTGTTCGTATTTTCATCTAGTTCCTCAAGTGCAATTTCATTTCACATTTGTGTTCAAAATACCTTTCCGCCATTTGGGAAAATCATTAATTGTACTGCAGTACAATTAATGATGGTAATAGAACGAATAGGAGTGCTATTAATGCCATAATCATACGAGTGATTACAAAATCAACCGACCGCGTAGCGGGAGGTTGATTTGTTAATCACGAGTATGATTATGGCATTAATAGTACGACTTAATTCGTTCTATTACTTATTAATTATTTATCTTCTGTAATCAAACTGTTTAAGGGGGAAAAGCAGAAAAATACAATTTGTTGAAATTCAATATAATTTTTAAATTTTTGTCACGAAAATTCTTAGTGAAATAGTACAATTTTGAATTATTATTTATCATATATAATCAAATTAACATATTATTAACTTCCGGGCATTATTTCCGGTATAACCACATGACAACATTTGTTTGAATTATTCAACACACAATTGGGAAGCCATGTTTGTATGTTTATAACGTGTTCAAAATAGTGAAGTTCTTTAGTTCAATTTATCATCTGAATTGGATTGTGTCTAGTTCGGTGTCTTCTGCTGGATGAACAGGTAGGTCATTTTCGTCAGAAAATATATAATTTAACAACCCTCGAAAACGAGATCGGCATTCGGCAATGCCGACCTTCAGTATTAAAATGCCGACCTATCAACCTCCCATGTCGGCAATGTTTTGCCGACCTTAATTCAGCCAAAGTAAGAATCTTTTTGGTTCTTATAGTTGTTAAAAAGTCAGCGATTATAGAATTCGATGCACTTTGGTGTAAGGTTTAAGAATTAACGGGTATATTTATGATATAATTTAGGTAAAACTCTAAAAGAAAAGCTTCGTGACATTTATACTTTTCAATGATTCGTAAATACGTGATTACTAGTGCAGGCTACTAGTGCTCCAAGACATGGAAACAGATTTTAAAAAATGCCGAGATAGGTCAGATTTAGGTCGGCATTTTTTTTCCGACCTCAATTTTGACGGTTTTCGAGGGCTGATTTAAAAATTAAAAAGGGCAAAATTTGTGAATTCCTCCATTTTGAAATTTTTTACAGCAATAAAGAAAATAAAATTCAAAGTTTGTATCCTGAGTGCTGATTGGCTAGTGTAAATACTAGACTGATTTTCATTGGCTGTAGACAAGAGTGCGATTACAGCTCAGAAAAGGTGCGATTAATGCTCAAATCGCACTCCTGTAAACCAATGAAATTGCAGTATTTGCCACTGATTACAGAAGATAAATAATTAATGAAATAATTGCACTCCTGTCAACCAATCAGCATCCAGTAATTTTGTCATGCTAATAATAAATAATATTAATACTAACTATAATATTAATCATATTATTAAGGATATTGATGACAATAATATATTTATTCCTATTTATTTCTAAAATTATTTTCAATCATTTTAAAATATTTTTTCCGCCAGTCCGTGTTAGCTAGTCCGTGAGTCCTGCAGTCCGCGCCGCCTTTTAACTCCCCCCTGGCCTTCACTGATGATAAATATCATCACTTCGGGTAATATTTCGACGAACCACCAGGCTGCAGATATATGAATGATAAATGTTCTCGAGTTAATGATTCCATGCAAACTGCGAAAGCAGAAAATTCTGCATGAATGCCGCGGCAGTGTTTCGAACCCGCGATCTTCGAAATGATACTCGATGCCCTACCAACTGAGCTACACGATCAGATCTGATTGAGGACTGGAAAATATTATGATGAAACTAATATTAGGATGTTAGGGTTTGTAATCCAAGTGAGAATATATACATTTTAAGACCTACCCAGGAACGACTTCGAAAAATGCAGCACAAGGTCCTCTGGTAGGAATTGAACCTACGGCCCTGCCATTCCGGTGCAGCGCTCTAACCAACTGAGCTACAGAGGCCAGCTGTTGAGCTGTAACCGTAAGTTCATGTATATATAGGTAATCGGGTGTGCGGGTTGTGATCAGGTGGACTTGAATGACTTAGATTATTTCAATTCACTTGGTGGAATTAATATTAGGATGTTAGGGTTTGTAATCCAAGTGAGAATATATACACTTTAAGACCTAACCAGGAAAGATTGCGAAAAATGCAGCACAAGGTCCTCTGGTAGGAAATGAACCTACGACCCTGCGATTAATTCCACCAAGTGAAGTGCAATAATCTAAGTCATTCAAGTCCACCTGATCACAACCCGCACACCCGATTACCTATATATACATGAACTTACGGTTACAGCTCAACAGCTGGCCTCTGTAGCTCAGTTGGTTAGAGCGCTGCAGCGGATTCGCAGGGCCGCAGATTCAATTCCTACCAGAGGACCATGTGCTGCATTTTTCGCAGTCGTTCCTGGTTAGGTCTTAAAATGTATATATTCTCACTTGGATTACAAACCCTAACATCCAAATATTATGACGTCTGTGATGTTACTCTGAGTGTCTATCCACATCGAGCAAGCTTGAGAAATATGCCTGATCACGGTGGGAATCGAACCTACGACCTTTGGAATACTAGCCCAATGCTCCGCCAACTGAGCTACGCGGTCAGGTCGGTTCGAGTATGTGATATTTCGGAACTGAATCTAGTTCCTTCGATATCAATGCAATCTAATAATCATGAATTTTCTGTATTCGTATTATGTACTCAGGTGAATATATAATGTCTGTGTCTGTGATAACACCAACACAGAAAATTCACGATTATTAGATTGTATTGAGATCGAAGGAACTAGATTCAGTTCCGAAATATCACATACTCGAACCGACCTGACCGCGTAGCTCAGTTAGCAGAGCTTTCGGCTACTACTTCAAAGGTCGTAGGTTCGATTCCCACCGTGGTGAGGCATATTTTTCAAGCTTGCCCGGTGTGGATATACACTCAGAGTAACATCACAGACATCATATGTTCACCTGAGTACATAACACCAACACAGAAAATTCATGCTTATTAGATTGCATTGATATCGAAGGAACTAGATTCAGTTCCGAAATATCACATACTCGAATCGACCTGACCGCGTAGCTCAGTTGGCAGAGCATTGGGCTAGTATTCCAATGGTCGCAGGTTCGATTCCCACCGTGGTGAGGCATATTTTTCAAGCTTCCCCGGTGTGGATATACAATCAGAGTAACATCACAGACATCATATATTTACCTGAGTACATAACACCAACACAGAAAATTCATGATTATTAGATTGCATTGGTATCGAAGGAACTACAATCAGTGACAAAACAATTTGGAAAAAATACCAAAAGAGCGTACATTTACAACACAATCGACCCCCCGCACCCCCCGTTCAATGTTGTGTGTGGAAATACCTGCGCAAAATGTTTCTTTCTAGCCACTCAACATTGTTTAGGGTGGGGGAGGGAGGGATAGTCGTTTTATGCTGAACAGTATTTGGAAAGGCGCAGATATGTCTATATCATATCACTGTCCAAAAACCTTTTGTCACTGATTGTAGGCAGCTGGCAGAATATTGTATCATAAATATAAAGTTTTTGTTACATGTTCAGCCTTGATGAAACGTTTAAATCTACCAAGAACCTGAACAAGTGTTTACCCATTACTTGGCTGGTCAGCCGAAGATAAAGTAATTTCAGTTAAACGTGATATCGGTACAAATTCATACACGTATAAATGGGCTTAAAATGTAGGGTTGGGGAAACCATTCCTTATAGCGTGGAGCGAGCTTTGCAGGTCTTAGAAGGTGACACGGTTCATTTTCCATCCCCGAAAAATAAGATGAGCAATGATGTTGTTCTCGAGGGACACACGCCATTCCTTGCAACGTGTGACGCCCCACTTGATTTAATTAACAATCGATCTATTGATCACGTGAACACAGAAATGATGAATGTAAGTTGGCGAATGTTTCCGCTCCATAGACATATTCCGCGTGATGAACAAAGAAACATTGTGGCTTGCGCTCGGTGCTTTGTTGAGTTAATATTATACGTTGAGCAGTGATCTGTAATGATGTGTTTTAATATAACGTACATTAAGGCGTTAACAAATAAGTATTCTGGTCGTCGCGAACTAATTAGCTTATGACACGTCAACGAATCCCACACTAATCCCAGTAACATTTTACGTAGAAAAGGCAATTAAGTCCTACAATTCTTCTGTTTTTCTCTCTTAGCTTATTGTGCTTATGTCCAAGGAATTGGTTATGCGGATAACTTCGAACGAAATCAATTTGATTCAATGAAACTCGGACTTTCGTCGACGATTCCCACTATTTATAGTATATTGAAATATGACATCATAATTTGTAAATGGAAAAGTGGGAATCGTCTACTTTTAACCCATTTTCTCTGTCTTTTATAACGAAACGCGTGCATATTTGAAGCCATAGTATTAATTTATTCCTTACTCACGCAACTATGCATTTGAATTCCCCACAACGATCATATACATGTGAGAAATTATGGAAATTATTACGCGAACAAGTGTGGGATTCGTTGATACGGAAATGGGATATACGATACGTTGTCGTAGTAACATTCTCAGTATTTTATTCTAAAGCCGCCAGCCTGCAATATAACGTACATTCGCGTAGGCATGATTGTGATAATATTAATAAAATAATCTACATAAATATTATATAAAGCTTTTATAACTCTAGTCTTAAATTGTCTCCATACATGCCCTCTAGGGGCTAAAGCGTCACTAAGAGGCCGTGTCTTATAAACAGAAGAAATCCCGTCTGAATAGAAGCCAATATTTCGCCAGACGAATCTGGGCTTTGTGGAAAGAATCTTCTTGCATTGTTGCGCAAACGCCTTTTTTCCTGTGCGATCACGGCTTGTTAAAACCCCCTTTTTACGCGCAGGTAATTAATCAAATCCAGCTGCCTTCACCTCACAATAAGATGTCCTATAGGAAATATGACGTGATAGCAGCTTTCTGTGCGCAACCAAGCGCCTAACTGTAAAATTTGGGTCTTTATCACGAAGAGTTTTTATTATTCTTATTAATTTCTCCGATCTCCATCTAACAGCGTCTTTGGTCTACCAATTTTCTTGCATGTCTTCAAATTTTTCTTGCGCTGAACTTTTCCTCTCAGATAAGAGAGACTGACGATTCAGATTTTTTTGCTTTTTTAGCAATCGCTCAGCAGGAATATCGTTCCTATTTGCCTAGAAATAGCACATACGCTCGCGTTGTATCTGAAATAGTTGTTTTATAAGCCACTATTACTTGCTTTCTATATAACTACCTCTTATTTATAGCATGCATACTGTGGGCTTTATAACATTACAGCTTTGAGATTAATCCGGATGTTTACGATGACGTTATATTCTCCACAAAAGTTACGTAATAAGCACTTAACGATAATTGCATTTGCATCCGAATGTGTTTACTAGCCCTAAATTCCAGATTGCTCCACTAGTTTAGCTTGCAGTTCCAAACTACCAAGTTCCTAATGTTTGAGTAGTTCTGGAAACGCCGCATAAACGCATTATGATTAAACTAGAATAATGACATACAATGTATGCGTAAATTATCCACGTATACGCTCACCAAAACACGGCAAATATAATATTTGTAAACACCATTGGTAATACTATAGAATACAAATAATTCTAGCTTCAATAACTAAAATTTTCATTTCGCTTAGAATAACGTTTCTGACTGTAGGCAACTGGCAGAATATTGTATCATAAATATAAAGTTTTTGTTACATGTTCAGCCTTGATAAAACGTTTAAATCTACCAAGAACCTGAACAAGTGTTTACCCATTACTTGGCTGGTCAGCCGAAGATAAAGTAATTTCAGTTAAACGTGATATCGGTACAAATTCATACACGTATAAATGGGCTTAAAATGTAGGGTTGGGGAAACCATTCCTTATAGCGTGAAGCGAGCTTTGCAGGTCTTAGAAGGTGACACGGTTCATTTTCCATCCCCGAAAAATAAGATGAGCAATGATGTTGTTCTCGAGGGACACACGCCATTCCTTGCAACGTGTGACGCCCCACTTGATTTAATTAACAATCGATCTATTGATCA